TTTATAATTAAATATAAGTTTATTATTTTATTTTATTTTTTATATTTTCTCCTATGTTCGTTGAGTTCAAGGATATTTTTATTTTATTTTATTTATTTTCTATACAAAGATATGAATTTTTGAAGTTTTATTTAAATTTTTTGGATTTACTTAATTCAGAAATTCTGAATTATCTACTTAAACAGATGGCTTCGTGTCATTCTTTGTATGCTCTGAAGCTCCACTCGACGCTCCGCAGTTCATTACACTTTCCATGTGTGCACCGAGGTGGTTGCGATTCACTTTCCTGAGATGATCCTGCAGTTCGTCTGATTCGATCTCCGCGATCCATTTTAAATACACGAAAATGAACGACATTCGTTCATCACCCCCACGGGATATAGAACAGGAGCCATATGCACCTAAACCCTAAGATCTCGCCCTATAGTCAACCAAATCGCATAAGGTTTGATCGTATAGCTTCATCTAAATGAGACGAATCTATCTATACAGCTAAGTAAACATGTATTGTTCATTTTCATCATAGAAGACAAAACTGAGGTAAAATTTAGGAGTTTTGAGCCATTACCTTGGTCTAAAAGGTAAGGCCTCAATTGGATGGGTTGAAAGCTTCACCTTAGAGTTATACGCCTCCTCCATTCTTCAATTTGATATGTGGTTAGGCCTAGGTATGTGTTAAGCCAAAGAGTGGCTTGAGTTTGTCTTGAGCTAAGTTAGAGGGCATGGGAAGAAGATATTTTGATTGGGGATAAAGTTTTAGGACTATGTGAATCTAATGGAAGGATTGAAATAGAGTTTTCGATGAGGTTGATGTTGGGGTCGTGAAAAGCCCTGGATTTCAGAGGGGTAATTAGGGTTGTGTGGGGGATGGAGATGGCTTGGAAATGGTGGAAGGTGGCCGCTAGAGTATATTGGAGCAAAGTTGATGTCAGAGATAGAGAGTTTTAGTAGGAGCTCGGGGAGTTTTAATGTGTTTCTAGGCTGTTGGGTTGGGGGCCTTAAATAGCCATGAAAGGACATAAGAGAGGCCTTGGTGTGCATGGGAGGCTCTAGTGGCTCTTCAGAGATTGTGCAGAGGTACTTCAGAGGTTTGGGCAGAGGAAAAGAAGCTTTCCCCACTTTTGATGCATTGAGCATGGTGGAGCTCCAATGGTCATGGAGGTGGTATGGCAAGACCTAGAACTAATTAGGGAGGGCTTGACTCAGTTTTACTCACCCATGACTCCCCTTGAGTTTGTTATGGGTTGGTTTGACCAAGGTGATATTTGGTGGCTCACTTAGTTAAGTGTGCATAGTTTGTCTTTTAGTGTTTATTTTGTGTTTAATTTACTTCTAATTAATTCCTGTTTGGGTTGTAGTGTCACGAGGGGCTATTTAGTTCATTTGAGTCACAAGTTTTTTCTTTTAGGGTTGCAAGGCTTGGGCTTAAGTTTGGGCATTGAATGGTGGGCTTGTCTGTTGATGGTTGGGCTTACCATTTAGTCCCCTTAGGATTAACTAATCTAACTAATTAGATTAATCAATTTAATTTATTAGTTCATCTGTTTTAATTAAGTTTGATCTAAGTTCAACTTGATAATCTTAAAGTCATTGGTATGGGCTCAAGTTGACTAGTGCTTCTGGTAGTCTTTGGTGGTTTGATGTTTTAAAAATTTTACTTTATTTTGATTTTGTATTAAGTAGGTTTAATTTTAATTTCCTTAAGGGTGTTAAGTATTTTAAGCTTAGGGTTGAATTTATTGTATATAAGTGGTTATTTATTCTTAGGGTTCCTTTAAGTTTGGTGAAGGCATTATGTGGGCTCAAACCTAACCTTTGTGGCCTAATTGTCTTTCGATTTAAATTTTTGATGTCAAGATTTTCTTATTTCAGTTTAGGGTTTTGATAAAAAGGGTAAACCTTTTTTTTGCCTAGAATTAGCCTCATGCCCAATGGGCTTCTTCTAGATCAAAGATGGTTTTAGAGGTGGTCAGTAGGTCATCACAGGGACTCCTAGGACTTTAGACTCCATGGACTGCCTAAGGCATCCTCCATATATAGAATTTCGACTTGGGCTTCTGCCTGTTTTAACCCTCACCATCTCAACCAATAGTTGAGGATTTGGGCTTAACCTCATCATCTCAACGAATGGGCTTCTTCTAGATCAAAGATGGTTTTGGGGGTGGTCAGTAGGTCAACACAGGGACCCCTAGGACTCTAGACTCCGTGGACTACCTAAGGCATCCTCCATCTATAAATTTTGACTTAGGCTTCTACGTGTTTTAACCCTCATCATCTCAACCAATAGTTGAGGATTTGGGTTTAACCTCATCGTCTTAACCAATGGGCTTCTTCTAGATCAAAGATGGTTTTGGGGTGGTCAGTAGGTCTTCACAGGGACTCCGAGGACTCTAGACTCCATGGATTGCCTAAGGCATCCTCCATCTATAGAATTCTGACTTGCGTTTCTGCCTGTTTTAACCCTCATCATCTCAACCAATAGTTGAGGATTTGGGTTTAACCTTATGAAACCCTAAGTAAATGCATGATTGGTTTGAAGTTCTATGTGGGTAAGTTCCACTCTAAGCAGCATCTAAGAAGGTCGCTAAAAAACCCTAAGGCTAGATCCAATGCTTCTATAGAGAGAAAATGGTCCTCATAAAAAAAGGTCAACAATGGTGTATAAATCATAATGAAATATACAATTTGATAAAATAAGTCATACAATTGTTAAACAGCCCAAGTGTAGTTAGACAACATTCAAATTTATAAAGCATGCATTAACAAGAAAAGATGCACAATAAAGCCATAACCTTAGATTTACCATTGTAAAATTTAAAAATATCAACATAAATCATCCTTCTTCCTTTTTAAAAAATGTTTGATTTTCCAATTATGCATTTACCCTTTAATTATTTAAAAAGAAAATTGGCCCTATCTCGAGCTCCAATGTGCAATGCTAAGGAATTCATCTTTAATTTCATAAGGTGAAGTTCTACATTGATCACATTAACATTAATTCACAAAACTAACACCATCAATCCATGCAAAATTCACCTAAAATAGTGAAAGAACAAAACTACCATTTCTCCAATACCTGATCTCAAATCCCAAATCATCCATTTCAAGCATGGCCTATACTAGCTTTAAATTTGACCACTCTAGCTGATCCAAAGTTCAAGCTGCTCCCAGAGGGCAAAAGATGCCATTGAAGCCTCATAAAAGCCCTAGAAATTATAAAAAATCACAATGATCACAACTAGCACAGGATTGTGGAACTTAACATTTATAAATCACATATAAGAGGTTAGCTTGATGTTGAATTCATAAATTTTTTCTTCATTATTTTGGAGAAAATTAAGTTTTTATATTAAAGTAATGATAATCACTTTTAAGATATCACACACATATAAGTGTATATTAGATAAAGTTAGGGTTCAACAATTTCAACCAAAGATAAACTGCTAGTTGGGGTAGAGAGGAGATGAAGCTATCAAATCATTCAAAATTCAAATAATGTTGAGCAAATTTAATCAATTAACAAGTCCTGGGATGTAAAGAGTCGAGTTGAGCTCCATTCATGCTTAACTCATGCTAAGCTTGGTTGTCAAAATACAAGCTTGAGCTTAAGCTCGAGTCGAGCTCAAATTATCAGGTGGTGCTTGGCTCGTGGTGCTAATAAAATGCTCATGAGTCGGCTACAAAACTGGAATTTAAGTTGCTATGGAAGCTCATTGGAGAAGTCATCTAAGAGAACGTTGGTTGGAGAGAAGGAAAAGTGTTGCGACATCATCTATGAGATTGGAATCCGGCTAGCTGAGTCAACTAGCAAGTCAACTAGTCGAGTCTCATTAAGCTCGAGCACAAGCTCGTTTAATAAATGAGCTCGAGTTAAATATCAAGCCAGAGCTCGTGACTTGTTAAACTCAACTCACGAGCTTATTAACAAGCAAAACTCAAGCAAAATTGGCTCACTTGGACTGCTAAATAAATATCAAGCTACACCAATATCATACACCACACGCAAGAGAAAAAACTCAAAAGCACAACCTACACCAATATCAGTTAATGGTCTGTTTGGGATCACTTCATGTTTTCTATTTTTATTTTTGTTTTTAATATGTTATAGTTTTTGTTCTCTATTTTTAAAAGATGCATTGGTACTATTATGATTTATATGTTTTGTTTTTAAATAAAAGATGTTTGATTGGGTATTTATTTTATAAAAAAAACTATATCTTTTTTGTAAAACAGTTGGGTCCACATGCGCTATAGTATTAAACTTTACTGCATGTGGCGTATACGACGTCTTCCTTGCTTCACCAAACACGAATCATTACCTATGGTCGAGCGGGCAGGCAAGCAGAATAGCAGCAGGTAGCGGGTGGTGGCGATTGACAGCGGTGGTGGGCGACGGGCGATGATTGCGATGGCTTCCAGCTGCCATCAGTGGCGACTAGCTGGGTCAGGCGGCTTGCAGCTGTCCCCAATGACGGGCAAGGCGATAGGCAGAGGATGGCAGGGGAGCAGAGGGGGGTAGCGGCCGGCGGTTAGCGATCGGCAACAGGCGGTTGCGAGCAAAGCGGACGAAGTTGATGGGGAGACTCGCTGTTTTCAGTGTTTTAAAAATAGATAATAATATATTTTTTCTGTTTTGAATTTTTTAAAAACTGAAATGTTCCTTCAAAAAATAAAATATGAAAATAAAATAAAGTATAAATAAGCAAATAGGATTTTTCTTGTTTGCTTCAAAAATAAAAAAAAAAACAAAAAAATAAAAATTGATCGCCCCTAAATAAGTATAATGTATCATGAAAAGAGGTTTCTTTCTCATCAAGAAATCTCTACATTGCCATACAAATGTAGTTGAACGGTCCTGATCTGATCCTCACGAGACTTAGCACAAAAGGTGTCCTAATTACCGTTCGATATCAGCGACCTCTCGTTAACGGTTCAGATGTTATTTTTATTATATCCTATGGCCTGCAATGGCTGGCCTCGGTATAAAAGCTATCCTTTCGAGCCTTAACATCGCTTTGTAGCTTTCTCAATATACATCGGAAGAACATTAGGGTTTCCCAAGTCTTCTCGCTTGTCATCGGAGATGGTGAGAGCATCTTCTTACCTTTAGTTTCCATCTCTGTTCTCGTTAAGATCTAATATCACGTTTCAAAATCAATTTGTCATTTATTATATGTTTCCTTCTTCAACAATCACTCAAGGGATATGGTTTACAAAGCTCCTTTTTCACTGCGATTTCATTTTCTTTCGATGTCGAATTTCTTATATTGCTAGAACCATATCCCCGTTCCATTTCTTCTTTCCAATCCTCTGTTTTCTGGAGTGATACTAATATGCTCATTGCCCCTTTCTGCTTTTCTTTTCCATTCCAGGTTCTTCAAAACGATATTGATCTGCTAAACCCACCTGCCGAGCTTGAGAAGAGGAAGCACAAGCTCAAGCGTCTTGTCCAGTCCCCTAACTCCTTCTTCATGGTATTTTTTGTCTCTTTAAATCTTTTTTTTTTCTGATTTATGCTTTTAAGTAATGCTGAGTGTATTATTTATTTTTTTTGAAGGATGTGAAGTGCCAAGGTTGCTTCAACATGTAAGTTAGTGATTTGTTGTGTCTCCCGTTGATTTATTGATCACTTGTTAGCTTTGGTTTCTGACGATTCATTATGTCGTTTTGATCCTACAGAACTACTGTATTCAGCCATTCTCAAACAGTAGTTGTTTGTGGAAACTGCCAGACAGTGCTTTGCCAGCCAACTGGAGGGAAGGCCAGGCTCACAGAGGGTTGCTCCTTCCGGCGGAAAGGCGACTAAAAGGGGAGTACTAGGTGATCAGTGTTCTACTTTTTTCCTTTTTTAATATACTCTCATTTGGTTCCCTAATGAAAGCAACCTATGAAAGGAAAATTCTGAGTCCTTGTTTTATTTTCTACTGCTATTTTCTCTGTACTTTAGATGTTGTCCTATCTGTCATTATAAGTTATTTTACCTGTCCTGAGGTAAAGTGAGGTTAAAATGTCTTGTTTTGGTATGTTATAATGGATGTATTCAAGTTTGTTTTTGTCTGAGCTCTTTAATCTCGTTAAATTCATTCTGATTTAATTCTTTTGATTTGCATTAAGGCATTACTACGTGTTAATGATATGTAGGTTTGTAATATTTTGTGATTTGTAATATTGCATTATGATGTGGAAAAGCCTTTTGTTTATGTGAATTGCATTATGGTTTGAAAATGCTATCATGAGAAGGTTTATGGTCGAGCAACATGATAATTGATTTAAAAAAAAAGATAAGAAATAGTTTGTTATAAACATATATATGTTGTAACACTAAGTAGTATTCAAAATTTTGAAATTATTTTAAAAATTAGTGTTATTCATTTATCTTTTATGCAGTAGTTAAGGTTCTAAGAGATATTCAAATCGGATATTCTGGTTTTAAGTTTTTAATAGTAGTAGTTTCAAATCGGATATTCTGGTTTTAAGTTTTTAATAGACGATCAAGTTATAATTTATTAGACATTTGTTGAAGTTGAAAGCTAAAAATTAGAAAATATCCTAATGATAAATGGGCTTATTATTAAGTAATGTTTGATTGCAAAAAATAAAATTAAATATTTAAATGAGTATTATTCAATGTAAAATATTACATAAAGATATAAATGATATGTTATAATGTTATAATTTAATTTGCTATGTTACTTAGATTTAATTGAAGTGTTATTGATAGTTTGAGTTCAAATGGGTCTAGTTTGAGCTATGTAAATAAAGCTTGTGCAATGGAAATAAGAATTTGAGCTTTAGCTTGATTGATTAATTGAATTTGAGCTCGAGTTCAATTCTGCGAGTTTATGTTAGGTCATAAGTTAGTTTATTTGCTACAGAAGTTATTATAATGGAACTAATAATTTTAAGGTGAATGTGATAATTGGAAAACATGTAGAATAATTATATTAGAGAGATGATGGGTTAATATTTATGAAAATTTAATTTTGTTGGATATGTTGGTCATTAAAACATAAATACTTTTTAGGAGAAAGATAATATGTTTCCTCTATGATTATGTATCTGATTAATTGTTTTCTTTGTGCTGTAATTTTTTCTTAGATGCTTGTAAAATTATCAGTATAAGTTATGACAAGGAGATGCATGTTTGCATTTATGTTAGCTATAAATTGGATCAAGAGTTTTGTTTGTTTTAAACAAAAAAGCTAATCATTTTCGCTCTCATGCATATGCAAGGTTGATTTTAAGAAAATATTTTTTCATGTCCTCATGAGGATCACTTTTGGTGAAATTTAAGTGGCATATATAATGAAAAATTATTCGATCCGGACACCGTATGTAAAATGCGTGTAGTGTCCAATTACAAATCGCTGCGTGAAATGCAGGGCCCATCACAAAAAAAAAATATAAAAATTGAATACTTTTGCCGCGCGCGCGACCCCGCTCAAATCCCGCTCAAGTCTCCGAAAAATAAAATACAAAACGTAACCTGTCAAATACGAAACGTCAGATCATTGCATTGAAAGGAAACCGTCGCACGAGAGTCGAGCATCATCTCTTTTACCATTCACCATCCGTTTAGTATTTTCCATTGCTTCCCTGAATCACATAGCTTAGGTTTAGGTTTGTAAAAATCATTGGGTTCGGACACGGCATGCAAAATTGCGTGCGGTGTCCAATTACGAATCGCCGCATGAAAATGTTGGACCCACCGCCAAAGGATTTAAAAATTAAATACTTTTACTGCTACCCGACCCAAATCCCGCCCAAGTCTCTGAAAACCCCTTTTTGTCATTTTCGAATCTCACCAATTCTGAAGGATTTAAAAATTGAATTTTTTTACTGCAAGCCGACCCGAATCCCGCCCAAGTCTCTAAAAATGTCTTTTTATCATTTTCGGATCTTGCCAATTCAGAAAAGCACATTTTGACTCTTTTATGTTTAGGGTTTAACCATTTTTTATTTGCGTGTTTTTTATTTGCATTTGTATTCAGTAGTTAGGGTTAACGAATCGATGAATGTCTTTCTCGGCTAGAAAATGTTGATGGAATCTTTAAACATTTGCGATAACTATGCCAATGAGGTGAGTTTAACTATGGCCGAAAGTATTCTACAACTAGTTTTTATTGGTTTTACTATGGAGGCTATGTTGCATGGTGTTTAAGGCTGTGAAAAAAGCTTGTTGTTTGCGAATAGCTCGTGTTCGACTCGTTAAGTAGCTCGATTTTGTCTCGTTCGTTAAGTAAACGAACCGAACACGAACAAGTTTTTAAAGCTCAAATTATAAACGAGTCGAGCACGAACAACTATTTATTCACTCATGTTCGACTCGTTTTAGCTCAAAATAAAAAAATATATATATATAATTATTTATATAATAATATATTACATATATTATTTATAGAATAATATATTATATATATTTATATCTAAGTTTAAATCATAACACCTCATGTGGTAATGTTGCTAGTGTATTTTTTTGTATACATTTGGTCCAGGTTCGAATCAAACAGTTTACATCTATTTTTTTCAATTTAATTTTAACGAGCAGGTTTTCAGCGGTTTGAGCGGAACACGAATATTTAAATCGAGTCAAACACAAACACACTATTCACAAGCTGATTTCAAACACGGGTCAATTTCGAACACGAGTAGTTTCGAACGAGCTGAACACAAACCAAGCCTGAGCTCCCTCAAGCTCGGCTCGTTTACAACCCTAATGGCGTTTAGGGTGTATGACGTGTTATTGTTACTTGTGTGAACTTTCTTGTTGTTTTGATCTGTTATTGCAGTGCTGCAACGATTTTTAGATAATGTTTTTTTTTTGTTTTTATCAAATGTGTAACGTTATGTTTTTGTTAGAGTGAGACGTCGTGTTATTTAGGTAAATATCATTGTGCTAACTAGTTTTTTTCGGTGTTATTTTCTTGTTATGATTGTTTTTTATAGTAGTGGATTAAATTACTCCGTTTTTTTTGGAGTGTTATTCTTTTCGTTCTAGCGGCGATGTGATGTTATTTATGTATTATCTGCTTGTAATTTTATTTTTATGTTGGAGTGACGATGTGATATTATTTATGCATTATCATGGTATTATAATTATATTTTTGGATTTAATTATTCGGCTTATTGGAGTGTTATTTTGGCCTTTAATGTTATCTTCGTGATATTGTGGTGTTTTTTCTATATTATTGGCTTCTAACTTTACCTTTGTGTTCAAGTGGGGGCCTGATATTATTATCATAGGGTTATACTAGTGTTATTGGATCTAATCACTTTGTTTTATTGTAGTGTTATTTTGGCATTGTTATGCAGATATTATTGTGTTGTTATTATGGTGTTATTTCCGTATTATTGGTTTTTAACGATACCTTTGTGTTGGAGCGGAGAGGTGTTATTTACAAATTTTTATCATGTTATATTAGTGTTATTGGATCTAATTACTCAGTTTTATTGGAGTGTTATTTTATCGTTCTAATGGTGTTATGTTAAAATTTGCAGTTTCCTAAGGCTGAAAGTATGCAATGATCAAATTGCAAACAACTTGTTTCGTGCAGTTGTCCATAATGAGAAGAAAACTTATGAACAATAGTGTGCATATGCATACCTTATCAGATTTATCATGCGAAAGGACCACAGTGGTTTTTGGCCGAATTCAAAGAGGGTTAAGATAAAAGCTTTATTTGCGGTAAGATTAGTTTCAAGAAAGAGTTGAATCACAATATCAAGGTGAAGTTTAAAAGAGCGTACATAAGGACTGTTTGTCCAGCTATGATCCGATATGCCGTTGATATCGAAGCTAAATAGTCAGTTAAGAAATTTATAGAAAGTCATAACCATCATTTGACGGAGAACGGTGACAAACATCTATTATGTTCCAGCAGAAAGATGAGCGACATCAATGCATACGTGCTTAGATCGATGAAATAATCTGGGATTAGAACCAACAATTCATTTAGCTTTCTGGTTACAAAAGTCGGGGGAGTAGAGAATTTTGATTGCACGAGGAGTGACGCCTATAATTTCAAACAAAGAGAGAAGAGTTTAAATTAAATATGCAAACGCTAATTCTCTACTACAATTGTTCACTGAGAGAAGCTGAGAATACCATGTTTGCGTGGGACGTTTAAATTGATGTGTCTAGTAGTTTGTTGAATTTCTTTTCGAGTGATAGAGAATATAGGCTTGATTTCGACTGTTTTGGGGATGCAATAATATTTGATATAAGTTATATACTGACTAAATACAACTTATGTTGTGCTCATATTATCGTTATGAACCATCAATGACATAATGTTCTCTTTGGAGTTGGTTTTTTGTCACAGATGAAACGATTGACTCATTCTAGTCTATTCAAATTTTTTATCCGGATAATAGATAATAAACACTCAATAACAATATTCATTGACCATGATCAAGCAATGACAAAAGCAATTGAAGAGTGTCTGCCATACACTAGACATATTATGCCAATAACATATATACAATAAATTATCTTCCTAACTTCATTGAGGTGTGGGTAGTAAGAGAGTCAATGATCTTTTTTATAAATGCATGGGTAGATGTGACTCTGAAGCGGAGCTTGAAGAAACTTTGGGTATAATGATTGAGAAAGAAAATTCACACGAGAATGCGTAGTTGGATAATTTGCATATTATCAAACATAAATGATCAACGACCTTTAATAAAGAAATATTTGGAATGACGATTCTATTAACTCAAAAAAGTGAGTTCACTAATAACATCTGTCATGGTGTCTCCAACATGTTCCCTCACTGAAAGTTTTTTGAGCCTTAAAAATGTCATGAAATTTTGGAGAAGAAATGAGGAATGAAAATTTTAAATGTGAACAGTCTGCAATTTTTTCTGTTGTAAAAGTAGTCCCATGTTGAGGCAGACTGCATTAGTTTATACGGGAAAGTTATATTCAATTTTTGAAGCAGA